CTCTCTCTCTCTCCCCCCCCCTCTCTCTCTCTCTCTCTCTCTCTCTCTCTCTCTGGCCGAACTCGCCCCGCTCTTGGTGTCGTGTTGATGGTAGCGGAGCCGGTGCCATGGTGCCATTGCCAGTGTCGGGAGGGGAAGGGCGGAGGGGGGCACGCTCCCTTTTGTGGCGGGGCGGGGTCGCGACTGGACCCGGCTGCGGTCAGGAAGGCCTCTTTTGTTCCCTCGTCGCATTGTGCACGCCTGTGTAAAGTATGTGTCGGCACAAAGGGGGCGTGGTGGGGCGGGGCGGGGCGAGACATCGCGCCGTCACCTCCCCCGGGCCGGTCCCCAGCGGCCGGCCTCATATACCCCTTTTAAATCTCTAATCGACGCAACCATAATTTTATTTTTAAACCGCGCCGGGGAGGAAAAAATAATTTTCACCGCACGTCGTTTTATTTTTTATATTTTTATCTTTCCCAGAGAAGAAACGATAGTCGAGTGTTTTTCCATCAACAATACGAGGGGGCCTGGGTGGTGAGGAGGAGGCGGGGGTGAGAATTTTATCTTTGAAATACCGCACTGAGTGGGCAGGCGGCGGTCCGGGGCCTCCCCCGCCCGCACAGCCTCAGCCGTTATCTGCCTCGCACATTCTTTACTTCCATAATGTTCATGGCTATCACCATGCCGCTATCGCCTCCCCCCTCAACCCCCACTACTCGCGCCCTCTGGTCTATGCGGTCATCCGTACCCCTCATAGCAGCAATACACGCACAACTCAGCGCACTTGTAGAGGGGGGCTCTTTGTGTGTTTTCTCCCCCCAAACAACGTCAGGAACAAGCCGGCGGTCGGCCGGCCTCGGCTCGCCCTGGCTCGCCCAGCCCTGCTGCCGCCGGCGCCTGCTTCGGCCGTCCGACTGGCTTCAAGCTCGTCCCACCCGCGGGTTTGGGGGAGTGGAAAGGGGGGGGCGATGAAGATCAAAACCTGGCGGAGCAACATCTTGTGACACTCATAAGGCGTCATAGCTCTCATAGCGCCTGATAGCTAGGCAACGTCTGGCTCGCAGTGCATGCGTGCACTGCGGGTTGGCCTACCCTGAATCTCGCAGGCGTCGAGGTCCCGTAATTTGCCGAAGGCATCTGAGGAAAGTCGAACGGACTATCTTTTGACCATCTGTAAGGAGTAGATCGAGGGGTGAACAACTCAGCTGAGACGGGGACAGAGGAATATATTACAAGGTAATATATGTAATACAGGTAATACTGGTAATATCAATGTATTAC